CAGGATGGTTGGGGAAAGAATCACGGTGCTACTACTATCTAGTGGCCTCCGGCCCATCCCGCCACCGTGCCTGGATTCGTGGACATTGGACGTTGTTGGAGGCTATGGTGCCGTCGTGGAGCGGTGGGGAACCGAAAGCGCGAGAATCTCAAATTCTGGACCACTCGAGGCATGTCGGCAGCATGCCTCAAGTGGTACCGAAGAAGTACGTCTTGAGGCATGTCCGTTGTATGCCTCAAGCAGTACCGATCAGGTATCACTTGAGGCATGTCGGCAACATGCCTCAAGTGGTACCCAATGTATGTGTGTCGGGATCTCGTGTTACGCCTTTCGGGGGTCTTTGGGAGGCAGTTTTGAAGCCTCTTGGGGGCAGTTTTAGGGCCTCTGGGAGTCTTTTTGGGGCCTCATGGGGGCTTCTTGGGGGCTGCGGGGCCTCTTGGGGGCCTCTTGGGGGCCTCTGGGGGCCTCTTGGGGCACTCTTGGGCCCCCCTGGGGCTCCTGGGGGCGGAAAGTTTGATTTTTTGAATTTTTTGTCGCCCTCTTGGACCCCTCTTGGTGCCGTCTTGGAGCCCTCTTGGGCCGTCTTGGAGCCCTCTTGGGCCGTCTTGGGGCCGTCTTGGGGCCGTCTTGGGGTTCTCTTGGGCCCTCTTGGGGCCGTCTTGGGGGCCTCTTGGGCCGTCTCAGAGCGTCGGGAAGCCGAAAAGGCAAGAAAGCAAAAAACATCGAAAAACACAATGGGAAATCAACAATGTTAGCCTCTTGGGGCCCTCTTGGGAGGCCTCTTGGGGGCCTCTGGGGCCGTCTTGGAGGCCTCTTGGCCCGTCTTGGGGCCATCTTGGGCGTCTTGGAGCGCTCTTTGGGCGTCTCGGGCCCCTCTTGGGCCGTCTTGGATGCCTCTTGGGGCCCTCTTGGCACGTCTTGGGGCCTTCGTGGGCCCGAAAAAGTCGCGCGGCCAGCTGCGACAAGGCCCGAGGCAGCTGCGACAAGGCCCAAGGGAACCGCGACAAGGCCCGGGAGATTTTGCAATTTGGGCTCTGGTGCCCTTAATGATTCCTCAGGAGCGAGGACTCAGGCTCAGGGGACGAGGCAGAGGACCTCAGGAAACGCCCACTCCGTGCCCAGAGGCACGGTGGCGGATAACCAGTAGCACGTCTACCTGGACGGTTTTTGACATCGCTTACGAATACTTTTGCTTTTACTACCACTAATCTTTCCACTACTACAACTACTATTCGTAATCTCACTATCCTTAATACAATCACTCCTAATAGTACTAATCCACTAACCCTACTACTACTACTACTGCTACTACTACTACTACTACAACAACTACTACTACTACTACTACTACTACTATACTACTATTACTATTACTACTACGACGACGACTACTACTACTACTACTACTACTACTACTACTACTACTACTACTACTACTACTACTACTACTACCTACTACTACCTACTACTACCTACTACTACTACTACTACTACTACTACTACTACTGCGACTACTACTACTACTACTACTACGACTACTACTACTACTACTACTACTACTACTACTACTACTACTACTACTACTACTACTACTACTACTACTACTACTACTACTACTACTACTACTATCCTACTATTACTATTACTACTACGACGACTACTACTACTACTACTACTACTACGACTACTACTACTACTACTACTACTACTACTACTACTACTATTACTACTACTATTACTATTCCAAACACTGCGAGGAGTAGTGCTACGGCGAAGGCCGCACGACACAAGTCAACCACTGGACTCTTTCCCGGCTAGGATCTGCGCAGCGGGAGTTGGAGACCCTTAAGGTGATAGTGGGATTTTCGGAAATCCATGCTTCAAGCTTCCATACAAAAACTAAGCAAACTGGACTCTTTCCCGGCGGAGCGCCGGGGAAAAGTCCAGTTTGCCGGGAAAAAGCTCAGTTTGCCGGGAAAAAGTGGACAACCCCGTCCTCAACGCGGACCTGTTCAGCCCTCCTCTGTTTTCCCCGGAGGAGGACGGAGGGAAGAGGAGGACTGCGCCATGGAAAAAGGGGCAGGGGGGGAGGAGGATGGAGGGAGGAGGCTTCTCCCTCTCTCCTTCCTCCCCTCCCTCCCCCCATCCTCCGCTCGCCGCCCGGCTCAGGGGCTGGGGCCGGTGGCCCCTGCGGCGGCGGCCAGTGTACCGCGTCGGAGCGCGGGCGCCAACGCCGCCGCTACACGGGGGCGACACGCGGTGGTTGAGTTTGCAGCCGCGTCTTCTCGTCGGCCCTACACTGGTGCTGATTGTTGGGCTGATCAGGATCTCAGAAGTTTCATTGCAGAATCCCTCCCTGGCCCCCTCCCCTTCCTCCCTCGTTCCCTCCTGCGTGTGTGCGTGCATCGGCCTCGTGTTTCGAGCTTCGAGGGTGCGCGCGCGCCTGCCGCTTTTCGCAAAAGAGGTGGCCAGCCTCGAGGAGCGGCACGCCAGCGGCGAGGCGCCGTTGCGCGGGGGGCGGCCCCCCAGTCCAAGGAGGAGGAGGAGGAGGAGGAGGAGGAGGAGGAGGAGGAGGAGGGGGAGGAGGGGGAGGGGGAGGAAGAGGGGGAGGAGGAGGAAGAGGAGGAGGAAAAAGGGGGAGTAGGAGGAAGAGGAGGAACAGGAGAGAGAGAGAGAGAGAGAGAGAGAGCGAGAGAGAGAGGAAGGAGGGGGAGGGGGCTGACGCTGCGACCCCAGTCGGCCTGAATTTCCGAAGCGTCTACAAGGGGGAGGGGGGAAGGAAGGAGGCGAGAAGAGGGAACTGGGGGGAGCAGGACGAGGGAGGGAGGGAAGGAGAAGAGAGAAGGGAGGTGGGGCAGGAGGAGGAAGGGAGTAAGAAGGGAGGCGGGAGGGAGAGCGGGAGGGAGGGAGGAGAGACGCGAGATGGAGGAGGAGGGAGGTGGGGGAGGAGGGAGGGGAAGAGCACAACGGCTGTTTTTGTTCCCCGGCTGCATGCGCTAAACCGCGCCACCGTGCCATCGCAGCAGGTCAGCGGGAAAGAGGTAGAGTTTAAGGCCTTCCAGTTGAGTGCCTTGTTTGAGCTGGCGCGGGTCTTGGACAGCCCGTCTTTGCCCGCAGCTTCGTTCTCTTCCTTCCCTCCGTCGTCTTCTGTTCGCTCTTGAGGGCATATTGGGCGTTTCTCGGATGCTTCATATAGGTTTTCAATGTTCAATATGTTTCGCCTCCTATGTCCTCTATGGGAGCCTCTTCGGACATCTCCTCGAAGCTTCTTGGGGCCTCCTGGAGCATTTTAGGGGGGATATTGGAGCCGGGGCTCTCCCGAGGAGGCTCGGCTGAACCATCTTGGTGACGCTTGGGCAGGTACTGCCCTCTTGAGGTGTTCTTGGCAGGATATCGGACAGTCTTGGGGCGATCTTGGGGCAGTATTGCGGGCTTCTTGATGCTATCTCCCAATGCGATCTCAGACCGAGCAGGTTCACAAGCACAACACATTGGTGTTCAGTTGGTGCCTAAGTGTGTTTCGCTTCTGGAGGCCTCGCTAGAGGCCTGTTTGGGCATCTCTTGAAGGCTTCTTTGAGGAGCTACTTGGGTCGTCGTTGGCCGGTCTGGGGCGTCTTGGTACCGCTTTGGGACGGCCTTAAGTTTTCTTGGGGCAGTCTTGAAGCCGGAAATGGCTCGAAAAAGCCAAACCAGGGGCGGCGAATTGAGATAGTTTCGAAGGGGGGTGTCGGCCCAAGAAGCGCTACATAAGCCCTACCAGGCAACACACGAGTATTCTAAAACGCTCCATCGTGCCACAGGCACGTGGTATTGTCTGTCCTCTGGAGGCCCACTTCGAGCTCAGGGCCGTCGATTGCCAGGAACGAAAACACAGCCCAGGGGGAGGCGTCGGGAGCTTCTGGAGCCCACGGATAGAAGAATCCACGACGGCAGAGGTTTAGGACCAGTCCTTGCAACTGCCATTTTGCAAGCTTCCATTCACGCCGTCGTCGAAGTCGTTGAGCTCCCTCGTTGACGCCGCGCTACACTGTTTGGGTACATCCGTAAAAGCATGTCGAGGTTCAGCATGACAGCATTCTCATCCCAGAGCGAGTCTCGCTCTGTTTGTTCGCCTGTCTGCCTGTGTACCTGAGTGTCGTTTTGTCTGAATATGTACCTCTCTCGCTCGTTCTCTCTCTTTCTCTCTCTCCTCAAGAGAGTCCCCTGTTCCCGGGCCGCTCCTTACAACGTTTAGGTCGGGGGACTTCGTGGCCGAGGTTCGCCGTGTTCAGGAAAGTTCGATCGCTCCTGATCTAGCATTCCCCAGACCGCAAGGCAGCTCTGGCGGCCCTCACCTCCGACTTTGTGGGGGTCTTCGAACGGACCCCCACAAAGTGCCATGGGTGATGAGCGAGGAGCGCGGAAGGAGCACCGCGACGGGGAGGGAGAGAGTGGGAGGAGGAGGAGGAGGAGGAGGAGGAGGAGGAGGAGCAGGAGCAGGAGCAGGAGCGGGAGGAGCAGGAGGAGCAGGAAGAGCAGGAGGAGCAGGAGGAGCAGGAGGAGGAGGAGGAGCAGGAGGAGCAGGAGGAGGAGGAGGAGGAGGGAAGAGGGAGGAGGAGGGAGGGGGGAGGGGGGAGGGGGAGGGGCAAGCTATGGGGCCCGCTCGCGTATATCTGACATCCTACCCCTCCCTCCCATCCCTTACCATGGCGCAGATCCCCTCTCTACTCGCACAGTCGGATGTCGAGCAGGGCAATGATCCCGAAAGGGTACGCGATGCATTGCTGCATTGTAGAGCACGGCATGGCATGGCGTAGAAGAGCACTGCGAGGCGTAGCATCAACCTAGCATTGCATTGCATGCCGTGGCATGGCACGGGAAATGACGCCAGCGCTGCAGCGGGAGCGCGAGTCGAAACGAGCGGAAGCGCGGAAATGAGGCCAGCGTTGCAGCGGGAGCACGATTCGGAACGAGCGGAAGCACGCCGGAATCGGCCCGGGAGGCTTCCCGGGCGCCAGAAGCAGAAATTCAGTATCGTAGCACCCCGCAATTGCGGATAAGAGTGAGGGGGCGGGCGCGGGCGACGCGGGCGTCGTCGAGCCGGCGGACCTCGTGGCCCCCACCTTCCCTGTCGATGGCGCTCTCCTCCTCCTCCTCCTCCTCCTCCTCCTCCTCCTCCTCCTCCTCCTCATCCTCTCCTCCTCTCCTCCTCTTCCTCGTCGTCGTCGTCGTCGTCATCGTCATCCTCGTCCTCCACCTCGTCCTCCTCCTCCTTTTCTTCCTCGTCCTCCCTCTCCCCCCCTCGTCCTTCCATCATCGTCCTCCCATTGTCGTCCACCCCCTCATCGGCCTCCATCATCGTCCTCCCATTGTCGTCCATCATCATGCTCCTCCTCCCCCTCCTATTCCGCCATCCTCCCCCTTCTCCCCCTCCTCGTCCTCCTCCTCCCCCTCCTCCCCCTCCTCGTCCTCCTCGTCCTCCTCGTCCTCCTCGTCCTCCTCCTCCTCCTCTTCGTCCTCCTCCTCCTCCTCCTCCTCCTCTTTCTCCACATTCTCCTTACATGCTCTCTTTGTTCCGCGTCCTCCTCGTTTCCTTTTTACTCCTCCTGCCTCCCCTTCTTTTCCCAAGATAACAGCAACGCAATCATTTTTCAACTTTATGCTTCCCGACTTATCTGATCAAGGCAACTCGCCAGGGTTAAGTTGCTGGACGGGCTGGTGTGGATGGGCGGGGATTGAAGAGGTCGTTGCGGGCTCAGACGGCATGCAAAAACGTGATCGGACAAGAACGGGAAGCGCCGCTTTAGTCTATTGGGCGTATTTGGCGAAGAAGAAAAGGAAGGCGAGGACAACGAGGAGTCGATGACGAGGACGACGCGGCGAATGTGAGGATAGCGCGGAGGAGCATGAGGACAACGAGGAGGAAGAGAAGCACAAGGACGATGACGAAGAGAACGAGGGCGAGCACGAGGACGAATGCGGAGGGCGACGACGACGACGACGACGACGACGACGACGACGACAGAGGACAGTACGAGGCAATTGGAGAAAGACGTTGCTCCTGGCGCCGCGCGGGGTTCTCTTGGGGCCTGTTGGGGGCTTCTTGGGGGCCCTTTGGGTCCTCTTATGGTCTTCTGGGGTCTTCTTGGGCTGTCTGGGCGCGTCGTGGGGTTCTCTGGGAGCTTTCTTAGGCCGTCTCGGCGCTGGGGGCCTCCTGGGTCGCTCCCGGGAGTCTCTTGGGGCCTTCTTGGCCCTTCTCGGGCCGTCTTGGGGTTCTTGTGAGCTGTCTGGGTGGCTCCTGGAGCGCTCTTGGGGGTCTCTTGGGGTCTTCTTGGGACGCTCTTGGGCGCTCCTGGGGCTCTCCGGGGCGTCTTTTGGGCCTCCCTTGGGCCTGTGGAAAGCCCTCCAAGAGCGATGCGAACACGACGTCGACGTCTTGGCGTTATCTTGGACTGTCGTGGGGCTCTGGGGGCCTGAGTGGGGCCCGTGGAGAGCATTTTGGGAGCCTCTTGGAGGCTTCTGTGACCCTCTTGGACTGTCCAGGCGTCTCTCGAGGGTCTGTGGGGGCTCTCTTGGGCTGTCTTGGCGTTCTCTTGGACCGTCTTGGGGCTCTCTTGGCCAGTCCTGGGGCCTCTTCGCGCGCTCGGGGGGGCCTCTGGGCGCCTCTTGAGGGCCTCTTGGGGGTCTCTTGGGCCGTTTTGGGGGTCCCCTGGAGGGCCTTTGGGGGCTCTCTTGGGCAGTTTTGAGGCCCTCCGGGAGCGACTCCAAGATAATGCCGGTTCGGAGTCCCCTCCGGAACCGATTTTTTCGAGGATGTCTCGAGCGAAGCGGCAACCTGACCGGACAAGAACGGGAAGCGCCGTTTTTTATCCACCACGTGCGTCAGAGACCGTATTGGCGAGAACGTCAGAGAAACCCATAAACGCAACAGAACAGACTAAATGATGTCCTGCCGCGCTGGTCTGTCGAGGTAGTCTGCTGCCCTGGCCACATCATGGTGTCGACACTGTGCTTTTCTCTCGGCCACGCGGGCCCCCACCCGTTGTCGCCCAGCCTACTTTTTCTGTTCCAGCCTGTCTTGTCTTTTGTTTGTCCGCCGTCGTCGTCGCGTGCCTTTCCTTTGTCGTGGTCGTCGTTTTCATTATAATCGTCCGCTGTTGCCGTTCTCGCTGTCGCCGTCGTTATCATTTTATGATTGCGGTCGTTTTCTGATTGTTTTTTTGTTGTTGGATTCCGTGTTCGGTTGGTTTTTGTGTTATGTTTGTGGTCGTTTTCTGTCATCGTTTTTTGTCGTAATTTTCGAGATCGTTATTGACGAAGACGACGACGACGACGACGACGACGACGAGCAAGAGGACCTTTGCCGGCTGGCTCGGGGTGCCCGCGTCCCTCTGCTGCCGCAGGCCGCCGCCAGCGAGTTCCGAAGTGCGGGCCCGTACACCTTAGTTAGAGAAAAGTAAGCCCCAGAACCAACGGTGCACGCCGGAGGCGCTTCCCGTCATCCTCGAGTTCGTCTGGAGG